AAAAAAAAGTAATACAAAAATGAAAGATTCATTAAAAAAAACTAAAGAAGCATTACATTTTTTTTAAACATTTTTTTTTAAGTCCCCGCCCCCCACATACACACGCATATATGCGTCGGGTGCGCCTACGTGCCGCACATGTTGCATATTGTCGCAAACGTCGGAGTGAGATCATTTTAGAGCCATTAAGGCCAGGTTCACACCTGGGCGTTTTACAGCGCTGATCGACGCGCTGTAAAACACCCAGCAAATGAAATCCCATTATTTCCTATGGGCATGGTTCTCACTTGGGCGTATTTCAGCGTGTTGGAACATGCTGAAAAACGCCCTACGCCCGCGCGTATCCATTAGGATACAGCCGGATAGCCCTCGTAAACGCGCGTTTGACGCGCGTTTTGAGGGCTGCAAATCGCGGTTAAAACGTGTACCCCAAAACGCGCGTCATACGAGCATATTTCGAACGCCTAGGTGGGAACCCAGCCTAAAGGAGAACTATGAGGTGAGTGCTTTTCACTCACCTCATTGTTCTAGCCGACCTGTGACAATGAGATTGTCACAGGTCGGCTCAGTAGATCGGGAAGTGAGCGAACACATACCGGCGTTCGCTCACTTCTCGATCCTGTCACGGCTCTCTGCCGTGACAGGGGAGGAGCTGGATTCCCCCCTCCCCGCTCCGATCCGCCAGCGCTGACTGGCAGAACGGATGGGGGAGGGGCAGGTACAGCTGGCTCTGCCTCTAGCAGAGCCAGCTGGGCAGATCCAGACATAATTGTCGGGATCCGCTTCAGCTGTGGCGTCTCAGTATACCGCGAGCTACAGCTCCCTATATACTGAGCTTAGGGTGACGGGAGGACGCTAATTTGTGTCCTCCCGTTACCCTAAGGAGAACTATGGGGAAAAGCCCTAACCCCATAGTTCTCCTTTAATCACTGATAACACTAAACTGATGAACAGTAAAGCGTTTTAATCGTCGCCTATGGGAGTTTTTTTGCGATTTTGCGGGTGCACGCATTTTAAGGCTTGACATGTTTGGTGTCTATTTACCCGACGTGACCCCGACTTTTATGTTTTACTAAAAATATGGGTAATGTTTTATAACATAACGTAGGGAAACTTTTTTGTTTTTTTCTACATTTATGGTACTTTTTTTTATTTTATAGTAAAAAATTACAAAAAAAAAAACCCTTCCCCCCCCATGGTGATTATATACCTCCAAAAGAAAGTTCCATCTGTCCCCAAACTTTAACATAAATTGCAAGGCTATAGTCCAGCCATGCTGACTGGTGACATTTTTGACTGACTGGTGAGACACTATCAAATTTTTCAAGCCCTGTCTATAGCTAATGGTATTCTGCATTGTTGTGTAATGTATTGCTTGGAATTGTAGTTCTCTATAGCCAATGCCATTCTGCAATGCTGTACAATGTATTTCTGAGATTTATAATCCTCTATAGCTGGTGGTATTATTCTGCATTGTTGTATAATGTGCTGAGATTTGTAGTCCCTCTACAGCAGCGGTTCTCAACGTGGGGGTCGAATGCCTATCAGCCGGGGGTCGCCTCGCGGCCCCGGGAAAGGTCTGCTCCGCGTTTTTTTGTTTTGTTTTCTGACATCGGAGCATCGTAACACAGACATCGAGCATAGCAAACCTTTCTCTGCTTCTTTGTTTTCTGACATCGGGCCGCAGGCCGTAATCAGTGAGAGAAAAAAAACCCCCATAGGATCACACAGCTAGATTCCTATTGGCTATTGCACTTTAGCCAATCACCCCTTTTCATGAACTTACTAGGAGTCCTCACATCAGCCGACCATTGACTACTGTTACATGGATGGCAAAAGTGGCAGACAGGGGCGGGGAGAAGGCAGGGAAGAGGCAGAGCTGGAGGGGGGCCAAGTTGCTGCACCATGGTCCTCTGGGTTGTACTTGACCCCTGGGCTAAAAGTTGTCAGTCAGCCCCTGCCATGACCACTTCAAGATGCAATTACAAGTCTTCTTTCCTGGAGTCTATTAAACCTCATTTATCAACAACATTACACTAGCATCTTAAATCTGGTGCAAATATATTCCATGCAAGTTCAAACACCCGCAATTGCTATGATAAATTCCGACCATTGTGTTTACATGGTTTTATCTGTACTCAGATTATCTGCATTTTCATAAAGTCAGGGTGAACTAGGAATCGATTTGAACTTCTAAAAGGATCAAAACACATGTAAACACGTGCAAACGTATGTAAAGACATGTAAAGGTGTTTTGATGCAAGGATTCAGTACCAGATGCATCTAAACGCGTATGTATGTAAACACACAGCAACTAGCTTGACAGATTTTGCTCTGTATATAGGAGAACAAAAACACAAGTGTCAAGTGTAAATGAAGCCTAAGACTGATAACTCTAATCTACTGCAACTAGACAACAAATTTGATGTCTTTGATTCAGGAGAACCTGTTACAGTTACTGAAGCAGAAAGGCTGCCAATATCCAATTGATTGCGTTTAATATGTAATATGCAGCCATATAAACAGCTCTTCTATAATTAAGATGACCTAAACATACAAAGATGTAATCAGTGAAGTCATAGCAAAGTCAGAACTCCTGACTTGTATATTTGTTTCAGCTTAGTCATTCGGAAATCAGCATTACAACCAGAAAACTAGTATTTTTAGAAGCAGATGTCAGCAATAGAAGACTTTAGATTTCTCAGTGCAAGCTTCCTTTAAACCAGGGGTGCCCATTAGGTAGATCGTGATCTACCAGTAGCTCTCAAAGCTGATGCTGGTAGATCACGAAGAGTGTGAATGGCAGCCCCTTTATTCCATTTTGGTATATTTTAGGGATGTCCGATACCGATGCTAGCATCGGAATCGGGCCCGATACAGGGCATTTTGACAAGTACTTGTACTTGTCAAAATGCCCCGATGCCTAGCGCCGAAGCTTGCACTTTGTTTTGGTGAGAGAACGGGGAGAGACAGACAGGAGAGAGAGCAAGGAGAGACAGCCAAGAGAGCGAGGAGAGACAGACAGGAGAGAGAGCCAGGAGAGAGAGAGCAAGGAGAAACAGCCAGGAAAGAGAGAAGAGAGACAGCCAGGAGGATGAGCAAGGAGAGACAGCCAGGAGAGCGAGAGCAAGGAGAGACAGCAAGGAGAGCGAGGAGAGACAGCCAGAACAGAGAGAGCGAGGGAGTTTTTTTTCATTGGTAGATCTCATGCATCTCGTCATTTGAAAAGTAGATCTCAACATAAAAAATTGTGGGCACCCCTGCTTAAAACCATGTAGAAATGTATATTCCCTGTTAAATGCACGTGGTTACTGCCAGGTAACTAGCAGTTTAAAATCAGCATGTTTAATGCAACAAGTCTTTAGCAAAAATCTATAGGCAGCTCAGAGGCACGTATTCTTTAACTGTACCTGTACACAGAAGACAATGATTAAAATGGCTGAGCTTGCAATTAAATTTAATATGTAATATTCATACAGACATTTACAGACTAAAGGGAAATATTTTACTGGACATGTAGAAATTACATACCTGGTACACTTGTAACTGTTTCATATGATGAGTCGTATTGCTTTGCTGGATGTCTTACAAAGTGATGACTTAAAACAGACATTCTTTTTTTGGGATCGTTTGTGATCTATGCAATATAAAACGAATATAAAAACGTTCAAAAAAATGTGATGAAACAAACATTGGTAAAACAATAGAAACATTGGTAAGACAATGTGCACTGTTCAAAAGGGTAATTACAATATCTTGAAACATGGGTCATACTCAAGCCAAAGACCTCTTCCCCTGTTGAACTACACAGATGTGACAAAATACTTCAAGGTCGATTTATAAACAATTTGCAGTGCCTTTCACCTTACGAATCTCTGTGAAGATTCGGTCTGTGCAAATAGAGGCAAAAATTAACACTCTTAGTAAACAACCCCAACAGAACCTCTAACTGAAGGGGGCCAAAAGCGGGCCATCTGAAGAACTTTGCGGCTGAAGCTAGCATCCGCAGAGGCCTAAATGTCTGCCTCTTAAAACTTTGTAACAAGTAACAAAAACAGTATTTATGCTTGCACATGATTGGATGATGGAAGTCAGCAGTGCCTCACCTCATTGACGAAGTGGAGGGAAAATTCCCTTGCATCATTCTCAGGGCAGCTGGCTGTTATGGTGAAAGGCTTTGTCTTGGCTGGTGAGAACATCAGTCCAATCAAGTTTTCTGAAGGTATGCATGTTAGAACAGGTGACAACTAAACAAACCTGCTCTACATATACAACATTCAGTCCAATAAGTGGCAGAATGTGGTACAACCATACAGGTTGTTTCTTCATGCATAATTTTACTCCCTCGGTGATGGCCTGTCTTGTCCATCTTGAAAAAAAATATTCCAAGTCGGTTTTTCCTTTTTTTCATCCTTTTTTGCATCTCAGTGCTGCTGATCACCTCTAGTCTTTTTCCGACATTTTGTACATGCATGTTTTACAGTGTTTGCTGCATATCAATTGCTCCGGACCAGCTTCCCAACAGGGACACTAGTTGACTGCATCTGCACAGTGTGTATCATCATGGTCGCTTGTAGTCTCTATCAGGAGCATGTGCAACAGGGTGCCAATAACGAAACACAAGTGTAAAGCTGGTCATACACCTTACAACCATCGCAAGACTTTTGCCTTGCAATGGTTGTAAGGTAATTTAAAAAAACGTAAGGTAATTAAAAAAACGATCATCGCAAGCCCGCCCCGCTGTGGGGAGGGCTTCCGATGACTGAAATGCTGAACAGGCCCGTGCGGCATTTGTCTTATAATCGCGGGATTTCCGGCGATTATCGTACGATAATCAGCAGGTGTATGGGCACCTTTAGACAGTTGTAACCGCAGCAACCCTGGTAGTTCGCATGAAAATGCCAAGTATCGGCACTGGTACTCGAAAAGTGTCAGTGCATCCCTAACAATAGACATTTTAAAGCGATCATGAGGTTTTAGTAATTGGGTTTAGTTCACAAGAAGTCGCAAGGAGAGAGTAAGAAGGTTAACATGCCTGCATTCTTTAGTAAAATGCAGAGTTAAAAAATGTTTTCCTACATCACTAATCGGCTTATCGTAAACTGCTGGTAAAGATCTTTAGGCTCTAGCCGCATTGCTCTGGTGGATGAGATGTTTCAATAGTGTTTTTTTGGGGTATTTGTTTGGGTTAGGTTTCCAGTGTACTTTTATATCACTGAACAACAAAGAAGGAATTAGGAGAGGGCCATCCTTGTTGGAGAGTAATATAAAATGCTTCTTCAATACCCTGGGAGATTTTTTGAGCAGACATTGGCTCTCTCAAGTAGAGAGAACTATAACCACCATATGTTGGGGAGTCAGAGATCTTGTACCTCCATGGCATTTGCGTAATGATACTTATTTAGCTGGGAAAAAGCGTAGACTGATCTTTATCTGGAAGCCTAGGAAAGCCTAATTAAATGGATCAAAGTTTATTAACATTTGAAGAACTCAAAAATGCTGACTGGTCAATTCTTACTTGGGGAAGATTCCATTCAAGATGAGCCTACCAGTCCCACAACTATTCATCTGTGATCATGCAGCAGATGTTACGAAATCAAACAAGAATGCCCCACCAAAAAATTCTTGCTGTCCAATCACCAGTTTCGAGTTACAAGATAAGACAGTTATAGGCCAAGGTGTCCCAAAACATGTTTAATGCAATGAACAGGAAGCTATGTAGGGATCTGAAGCATAACTTTTCAGATATTTTTGCTCAGGATGAGCTTCTGAGAGACATTTTATTTTGAATTGAAAAAAGTAGGGAAAACATTGGAAAAAGACTTGCCTTTTCCTGATTTAGGCTTCAATTTAATCTCTAACAGATTTTCTGCTTCTAGAGATCTACAAATACTTCTTCAAAAGTGCAAAAATGTGTAGCTGGATCGGGTATGAATAATTTAATCCAATGTAACCCTATTAGGACTATTGGGGGGAAAAATGCTCTACCAGAAATGTTTAGGGCTGCAACAAGTAATCTGTTAAAATAATAGTTGGCAACGATGAGAGCGAGAGCTTTTCCATACAACCGATTAGTTGAAAAAATAATCTGGCAACTAATTATTTAATCATTAGATGCAGCCCTAAAAAAGTTGGAATTTCAAGTTTTTGCTCAGCAACATAAGTTTAAGAATCAGGTGAAATTGCCCAAATACTTTTTATTTAAAAAAAAACGGCATACAAAAAAAAAAAAAAATTCCCATATAAAAGCTTGACCTTTGGTTGACATTTTTTTGTCCAACAATCTCTCCAACATCTACCTCTCAGCCAAAAGGTTAACCCCATTCAAAGGGCATACCACATAGGAAGTGTAAGAGAAAAAGGGGGGGGGGGACTCCCCGGTGACAGTATCATACAGACAAACAGTATCTCCTATGGGAAATGATTGTCATTTAAATATCTTTGGTCTGTAACTAGGCAAAACATGAAAAAGAAAAAGAGTTGGTCGCAAGCAACATCCTGTGCGCTGACCAGAAAGAGTTTGCTTTTCTTTTAAATCAAGTCTAAGTACTTAACCAAACAGCAAAAGAAATTAGCAATACTGCTCCTATCCCTTCTTAATTACATCCCATATTCTGTCCTGGCACCTCCCGTTCAAACATAAGTGTCATTACCAACAGAGTAATCTTACAAATTTCTATGTCCAGCTGTAACAAATAATCGTGTGATGTGAGCTGATGTTTATATCATTAAGTGTATATTTGTGAAACAAAAATTTCATGTGCAAACCTTTTTTAACCCTCTTGCATCTATTATTATAACCAAGGGGAAAACCGGCCAGTACCTACTGCACAGCCCTCAAACCGGAATATCACATCTGAAAAGAAACCTTTCCGGGATAAAATCAAATACGTGGGATTACGTGCAGCATCCATGAGCCGGCTCCTCTAATAATGGCTCCGGGAAGACTGTGAGTTACACACAGTTTCAACGTTAATCCTTAATTGAGTAAATATTAGATGGATCATCTTGATCAAGACACTTGAAATCTGTGATTGTTACCTCCATATATATAAGCAGACCTGTTTTTCCTCGATAGTTGGTGGAAATCAACAATAGGAAGTCAATCTGGATGAAACACTATATGATACCATTGACTATAATCGGCCTGTGGACCTTATCTCGACTTAAATCCCTTGACAAGGAATCAGAAATGACCGATTAGGTCCTCCTTCCATGTCTATAACACAGGATAATAACCGCTAACCGAGATATGGTTATCTAACAGAAAACCGAGATATGGCTATTCCCTGTTTAATGGGTTTTACTATATGAAGAGAGGCAATCTTCAAACCCCATCTATCGGTTTTTCTTATTGATAACACTTATCACAGATGAGACTCTGTTTGACTAAATGGATCTTTTCCAATAGGAATGAAACCTCCACCTACTTGAGGAGTAATTGTCTTTCATGGTGACACAGCATTGAAATTAGAGGGTGGAGACAGGGTCATCCACTGAGTGTGTATGTGGGTACACATGTAAGACAACGTTGTCGATTTTAAGTATGTATTGTTCATTCTTGGAGCTGGTGCAAACTTTTTCTATGTATAAAATAAAGTTGTGAATATATATTTTTTCAATTACGGTCTGAATGAACTCTTCCTGGTGAGCGCACAGGATGTTGCTTGCGACCAACTCTTTCTTTTTCATACCACATAGGAAGGCTGCTTTTCTTTTAAATCAAGTCTAAGTACTTAACCAAACAGCAAAAGAAATTAGCAATACTGGCTCTGACTGCTAACCACTGCATCAGCAATATAGGCCAATACCTTGGACATCTCCAAAAGAGATTTTAAAATGTGATCTGAAAGACATACAGTTGCTCAAGCCAAGGGTAGATGGCTAAAAGATCTAGTCAGCTTCCTGAGAAACTTAGACATTCTCTAGTCTTTCTTGCGTTTTAATTGGTTCTTCTCAGGCTATTATGAGAAATTTGCCAGTCTCCATCAACCTCATCCTTTTTTTTTACTGACAAAAGGTTAAGTCAGTTAAGGGTGCTTGAAAAATAATGATTGGCACTCTAAAATCAGCCCTCTATGATTTGAATGCTAGCATAATTTCCTCTTTAGTTATTTAGCATAAAAAAAGGCACTTTCTCCTAAATGCCAATAAATATAGTCTTGGCAATGTGGCTCCATCCAAGAAGTGGACAATCTGGGAGCACATACTACACGGCACTACATTCTCTGAGCTTTATACAATAGTACTCTAAACTACTGCTGAGGCATTAATGCAGTTTTCTGCAGATGCAATTTATGAAGAAGGTTTTCCCTTCTATTTCTCAGATGTGGACCCCTACAATAACCACTGTGCTTTTAAAGAATTGATTGATACAAAAGTGTGGGCTTCACCAGCCTCAGCTACGATCGCCTTCAAAAACTAGTAATGGTTTCCTGTGACGCCACTGACAGCCGACACTTCCCCTGCACCGCCGTCTTGGCCTCCTGGGACACCGCTGACGGTGCTCTCCTAACACCCCACTCCTGAAAGTTTCTCTCCTCCCTACTGGGTGCTGCTTTGTTTCAAAGGGGACACAGAGCAGCGCCCAGCAAGGAGGAGAGAAACTAGGGATGCACCGCATTTTCCGCCACAAAATTGTATTTTCAGCATTTTGCCTAAAGTACCATTTTCGGCCAAAATTTAGATGCATCCTAGAATTACACCAGGGACCCTGGGTCCACCACAATGGACTGACATTTTTCCCTTTAAGCCAGCCATGGAAAAGCCCATCGGTGAGGGGGAGAGAAGCCGCCCACAGGACGAGCTGTGACGGCCGCACGGCGCCCTTGTTGCCATGGCGCCCTGTGCGGCCGCACGGCTCGCACACCCCTAAGGCCGGCCCTGCCAACTCTGCACAAATCCCAGTAGTATAAACAGTGTAGTAAATACATCTGAGGTCTGTGTAGGAATTCAGTTTTGTAATGAGGGGATAAAGTCACTAGCAATTTGAAAGTTTTATTACGAATGCAAATTTAGTGGTTACAATTTACCAAAAAGGAGTTGCCTTGTATCTTGTGTCCGCACTTCATGTAAACCTTCAACAATACTTCGCAATATTTCATTCATTAAAACAACTGGGATAACTAGTGCCAATAACGTCACCTTCTGCAGGATTCATTATTAATATTACTCAAGGGTTTATTAGAACACACAAGAGAACTTCTAGAAATATGCTTAAATATTAAAGCTGAACTCAAGGCCAGACATAAAAGACACACATTACCGCAGCTTTGTAAATCATAAATACAGCATGTACCTAAAATTTGACTTGGTATCAGCATCTAGCAGGCCATGTACAATCTGTACAGCAGCGCTCAGGAAGGGGGAAGTTGGAGCAGAAGAAGCCAACCATGTGTGCTACAGTGCAAGGAGCATGCTGATAGGAGAAGAGCAGAATGACAGACAGAAGATCTCATCAGTGCCCTGCTTCTTGCCAAACAGGACTAGGCTGTGTAAAAGAGCTCTGAAAATCTCATGACTGGATGAACAGAAACATAAATTCTGGGGCAGGGAAAATAGCACTCGCATATGCATTTCATCTGTGTATTTAGCCATTTGCCTGGAATTCAACCTTAAATAATGTATGGCAATGCACATCATCAGATAGGGCTAGTTAAAAATTAGACAGGTAGGTGAAGAACTAAAACAGAATTACAAAGAAAAATAAATACAAACCTGCTTTGTTTTCACATCAATTAGATCAAATAAGGCTCTTGCTGTGGCTAAAATTAACTCTTTGCACCTAATGGAAAAAAAAAACAATACCATATGAGGCATAATAAAACACATTGGATCATGGCATACTAGAACCGCTAGTTTAAAAAAGCAAGTCATAGGGGCCTATTAAAAGCAGATATCAGATATGGCTACCCGCTCTCCTCCTCATTGATATCCCACACTTCAGCCTGCATTTTACATTCCATTAACATAATGCAGATCAGGGTGTACAGCCTCCAGTACATTACAGAGTTCTCTTGCTTATCACAGCAAGAAGAGCATTGACTGGATAAGAGGCAGGTCACATGACTTTAAAATGACATGTGACCATAACTCTCCTTTCAGTTTTGTGCCCCCTTCCCCCATTATTCACTTTTATTTCTGCTCGTTGCTTCAGAGACAGTTTCTAGCACTTCTGTGACTACAGCCTTACAGATGTATATGTGTAAAAAGGCATTGCGGTCTCTGACTGCTAGTCTCATGAGATTATGTGATGTCACTAATGTGTTGCTCACTGTTTTCCTTGCTGACAAGTCTCATATGGAAAGAAAATCCCTGCCTCTACCAAGATGGCCGCCTCTACACACAGACTTGGTGCTGAGGCCACAGGCATTCTGGTGACTAGTTATTTTCCCTTTGCATCACTTTTGTTTTTGAGTACAGCTTCCAGAGCTCAGTTCCTGTTTAATAATATCATAGATATAACCATTTTACATGTTTGTTTAAGTTTACTCACCAAACTATGGAAAGGTGATCTGTTGATGCCCATGTTCTTGGAACTGAAGTACTCTGCAAAATTAAAATCTAGTATTAGGAATGTATCCGGCACATACCTCTACGTTACTGGTCATCACCCAATGGCCGAGGAGCATGTCTCTGACTGCTGATTTCTGTTTTTTAAAAACGATGCCTTTTTTTGTTAATACTGCTCTTGTGGGCTAACCCATCTCTGTCCTGCCACGAACACCGACCAAATACATGGGCCGATGCCTGCGTGACCCCAGCTCCCCATGACCGAGCACTAGGCTTGAAGAACTCTGCCCTCAAGTTAATAAAACGTTTGTTTAAACCTCTGAAATAACAGACACAAAGATTTTGCACAGCTGAATCAACTAATTTGAATTCTAACCATCCCTTTAGCAGATATTACATTATCAAATGCCTAGGCATATTCAGTGCCCAGCACTGAAGAGAACCTTAGGCAGAATTTTCTCCAGTCAAGTTAAGTCTTTAAGCCCTTCTGTTCCTATTCCTTTATCCCAGCATGACAGTTCTCATGGTGTACTTTAACCTCCCTAGTGGTATGGTTTTTTTTAATGTCATTTTTTGGTCTATTTTTTTTTCGTTTCGTTTTTTTAGTTTTTTGGAAAGCCGACAATCGGCCGCAGAACACAGCACGGCTCGAGGGACAAGGTAAGTAAATGCTATGCGGCTTTCCCGAGTGTAGCTCGGGGTTACCGCTTATGGTATGGAAAAGTAACCCCGAGCCACACTCGGGAATGCCGCCAGGGAGGTTAAAGGTAATCTTGAGTCTGAGACCTCAATGCCAGCTGCCTGGCTGTCTCAATTTCTTGACAATTTCGGTTTATCTAACCCTGGACAAGCATGCAACCAGTCAAGTCAGAACTGCTGATTTGCATGCTTTAAATGGTCGAAGATTTACCAAAAATGTTCAAGCCATTGGTTCAAAATGAATACCAGGCAAACAGCACATTTAGAAGTCAGCCATTGCAGCCCCAATTGTAAGAAAACAGCTGTAAAGTAGTAACTCGTTGCCAGGAAATGATAATTGTTTGTATTAAAGTCCTCTGTAAAAAATTTTAAATTAAAAATTGTCAGAGAAAGAAAAAAATACAATACCGCTACAGATAAGGCACTGGCATAGAGGTCAGAAGCTGGTAAATAGGTCAATCCAGAACGAACTTGGAAGTCCCGAAATCCCCCCGCAACAGAAAGTACTGTTACATTTTGAAGTTCCTTAGCATTTAGAATCCAGTAATTGTTCACCATGGCATAAAAATCTGTAAAAACATGGATACATAAAATGAACAATCTGAAACAACTAAACAAGCTTTTCTTAAACAAATTTAAGGACATTATACAAAACATGCTAATTAAGCAATCTTCAACAGAGCACACAGTACAATCTACTTGTACAGTGCTTCCAATTTTTATACTACACTCATTTTGCACACCAGTCTTCCTCCCTCTGCAAGGCCTAACAGTTTCTAGTATGAAGTTTCCTACAACTCAGTGCTTTTAAAATCTACAAGTCCAAGAAATCCCATATGTTTGCATGAATAGATTCTAAAATGTGCTCCAAATCTCATCTCTCATGCAACAATTAATATGAGATTTATGGTAACTTTTTGTTTTCAATACTCTGGAGGAGAAATTCCCAAAGGTTGGCATATCTGCAGTGAGACAAACTTTAGCTTAACTTTCTGTTGCCATCCTTGACTCTGAGTTCTGTGTTGCCTGACTTATGGTCATGAAGCAACAAAAGCTTCATGACCATAAGTCAGTAAAGTAGCTCTATGACCACATGTAGGCCAGCAAAGTTCAGGCTTGAGTAGACTAGCCTTCCTTTACTCCCACCCAACCTCCTATACTGGTGGGTGACAGACAGTAAGGGAAGCAGAATTGCAGGTGAATATCTATTTAATATACACTTTTGCCTCTTCAGTTTTAAGAGCAAACTAAAATGTCAGGTTTGCAGCAGTAATAAAAGGACAATTTAGTCATTCCTTATTTTTATCCCCACACAGTAAAGATCTCCAGAAAGTATATGTGTAGCTTCAATGGAAGCAAGTGCAATGCACACTTTCCTTCGCTACTGTAGATATGCTGATGCAAATGTTCATTTAACTAGATTCATATCTGAAATACATGCATTTGAACAAGCTTATGATACGAAAGATTTCCAATTCTGTTTGGCTAGTTTTGGGATTTACACAAACACCGCTGCTAAACTGCACAGCCAAGAATCAAACTCCTCCATTTCCTGGTTCAACTTTTCAGTCTCTTTTGTCATCTGCTTGCTCTCTAAACAATTAAAACAGAGGTGCGATAATGCCAATTCAAAGTACCATAAGCATGGTGCAGTTGGAAAAGTGACAGCAGAACATAAAAAGCTGAACCAGGAATTAAAAGGCATCACCTGCCTATCCATGCCCTGTGACAGAGCTAGTATTGTGCATTCATATATACATACATTTTTAACCTCTTCCTGGCAGGAGATGTTCACTTTATTTAGGGCTACGGAATGCCAGTAACCGCTGAGATCTGTGGTTACCGTTCGTTAATGGATGCCTCACTAATGAGACATCCATTAAAGATTTAAGCATTTTCAGACACTGAAAGTGATCGGGTGTCTGACACACAGCAGTGCAGTGTGAACCACAAATTCCGATCACTGTTAGGCAGCCGTACATATCGGGATTAGCAAATCCCGATGTGCTCCAACATTTTGCTAAATATAACCCCTTCAGACTTCATGACGGGATTATCCCATCATGGGTCGTAAAGGGGTTAAAATAATTGACAAGCCAGTGTTTGTAAATGCCTCTTGAAGTGATCATCTTCTTCCTTCCACTTGTTTCAGACAGTCCTTGCAGCGCTTTTGCCAGTCACTCATCCACAGCAGACTCCTCGTGTCCCACGGTGTCTATCCGCCGTGCGCGCTCCTGGCTGCATCCATTCAGATCCATTTTCTCTCCCCTCTAATGCACACTCACGGCACACTTCCTCCTTCACAGCGTTCGGGACCTGGGAGTTCTTCATCCAGGAGCAAGCGGTGCTGGAACAGGTAAGTAATTGGGTATTTGCCTACTTTTTAATTTATTTATTTTTATCATGGGGCATATATCTACTGCTTGCTAGCAGTAGATTTATTCCCAAAAATTTGACTTTAATTATACCTTAACAAACAGAAACTGAAAAAAGCTCAGTCATGAAGGGCTTAATGAAACATCTTGCTAGTGTTGCCATATTAAATAATGTAAAACAATGAAAAAAGGATTTTACCTCTTCTATTTAGTAAGTGTTAGTAACTTCTTTATGGGTAAAAACTTCAACCAGATGATTGCGCCAACTGCTGATCAGACCTGTCTAGTAGTTAAACACAAGTTTCCTTTGTTTATTTTGTGCAATCCTTTACTTCTAATCAGTATGCCTTGTTCTGCGTCCAGCATTCATAATACAGAACAAGGCTAAATCTTGAACAACAGTACAGTGTCTGTAGTGGTGGCACCACAATAAAATAGGAGACTCTTACACTTCCAGAACAACCATTGTTAATGATAGATCTTAGGTGGTTTAGAGACCTTTTTATGATGTCGTGAACATGTGACCTCAGGGGGATGAATCAATGCATATAGAATTGAGTGAACTATTTGAGGACAGGGAATAGCAATTCTGGTAATATGCTTTGCTAACCCAATTAGTAGGAGCACAGTGCTTCGAAAAGTACAGTTTACCCTTGTGTTAACCAGTTGACATCCGCGGTGTTAAACCCCCTTCCCATCCAGGCCATTTTTCAGTATTCAGCGCTGCGGTACTTTAACTGACATTTATTCCGTCTGGGCTATGGACCCGCTGATCGCCTATATGTGAAACACCCGGTACCGGGTGTTCGCATTGGACTGGTCTTTTCTGCCCGTGCGTGCCCGCTAGGGGGCGCGCGCGAGCAGAAAAAAATTGGACGGCAACCCGCAGATGCTGCAGTGCCGTCCGTCCGTTTTTTTACTACGGGCGGACGGCAAGAGGTTAATAACAATGCAGGGGTTAGGTCAGATAAAGTGGTTTGCATTCAAAAGTGAAAGATAGATCATCTGCTCTTAAAGGATTATGTCTTTGAGCCCATTAAGCCTTAACCAAGGCATGTCAAGCCCAGAGAAAGGGGCTTTAAAATCTTTCCTGCAATTTCGGGCTGCAAAATTAAAGGGGAAAGCTTTTAGCAGTTGAAGATCCACTGGGGCCCTACTCAATTTAAATTCTTGAACCGGCTGAAGGTAACAAAGAAGAAGTCAGAGGGCTACATGCAGTGCAAAAAACACTAGTTTGATATGGCTGATCTAAAAACACAAGAATACCTCCAGTGCCTTAGGGTCACCATATGACCAAACAATCTTTGTACAATCAACTTTAGAATTACCAAAACTACGTAGCATGAGGACCTACCTGATCAAATATTTTGTATCCAGTCAGGCAGGTTTTTGTACTAAATAGTTTTTGGTATATCTAAAAGGAGATTGTACAATCAGATAGTAACATGTGTGATGAGCATTAAACAAACTTGAGATTAATAACAATGGCTCATTCCATTGTAACCCACATACAGTACTTTTGTTCAGTGTTTTTTTTTGTGAAAGAATCATGCATACAAATACAGTATGTTATCAATGGCAAGTGAAGTTTGCAGTACACATCTGATTCCATTTTTAAAAAGTAGCAGTGGCACTAAATCTCCTTCATTTACAAACTATATCACAGAGTGGTGAAAAACAGACTTTTAAAATTATTTTGTAACCCTTTAGAAATGTAAAAGCTTCAAGTCTTTTTAATTTTCAATATTTTTATAAAATTTTACATTTTAACAATATCAATGGAAGACAATGCAGAAATGAAGTAAAGTTAAACACAGAGTAGACCCGGACTAAAGGCAATACAAAATTGGTTCAGAGGGTGTAAACATGGTAGAATAGAGAACATTGAGATAACAATAATGACGTACCCAAATAAGTATCCGCAAAGCTAACTCGAGCATGATGTTCAAAGAAAATAGGTAGCAAAAGGTGCAAGCTAACTGAGCAATGCAACTGGCAACTTATTGCAATAGCTAGGAGGAAAAAAACCTCCACACTGCAAGGGTTAACTGCTTGTTTTTCTCTAGGGTCTAAAATAATACTGGTCCTTCGCAGCCTCTCTCTCCCTCCATTCAATAGATTATATGCAGATTTTCTATGGTTAGGTGGAAAAACGTTCAACAGATTCCTCCATCTACGTCAAAAATTAGCAGTTAACCCTTGCAGTGCGGGGTTAGCCCCACTCCAAGGGTTAAGTTTGTAACTGCCTGAAGTTCTTCTTGAAAATATTTAAAGACAATATCAATATATGATATCAAAAGCCATAACACTTACCTGTGAGATAATAATCTATGGTCAACACGGGCATTAAATGAGGGGTAGCTTGAGTTATAATGAGGTTTATCAGTTGAGGATTAAAAGTCTTTAGTGTAAATAATGCTCTTGCAATAAGGCCGCCCATTGAATGTCCAATAATTACAACACTTTGTGGTGGAAATTCCTGACTCTGAAATCACAAAAAATGCTTAATATCATTAATTTAACAGCCAATAGAGTTTTGCAAGCAAACAATGCCTACATTTTAAAGTTCCAGTCAAGTTAAGGTCCTACCAGCTATAAAACACAAAGATACTGCAATGTTACAGATCAAAGCTAAATAAGGCGCATCAGTACATTCATGATGGCCCAGTTACCTTTTTCCAAAATACTGGTCAGTCATGTACGTGAAGATTAAACCCTACAGCACACCTAAGAAGACACAAATAATGTTGAAAGTGGCCATATCTGCTAAAGTGGACTAGAGCATTGATCTGCACACTGCATATGACAGCATGCGTTCAATAAGCCAAGCATTCACCTTGTGCTTCAATGCTAAAAAGGTACGTACACAAAACATTTTTTTCTATGCAGTCCCTGCACATTTGAAGCATGGCACTTTGAAAAACTCAAAAATTATTCAAGCTCTGCGTAAAGCTGGCCATACACCTATAGATTATCTGCAGATTTTCTATGGTCAGTTGGAAAAAGTGTAACAGATTCCTCCATCTACGCTAAACTGTGTGGATGGAGGAATCTCCCACTGGCCCAAGCTTCAGTATCTTGCTAGTCGGCCCCGCTGGCTCTCAAAATACCTGAACAATCTTTCTATTCACTGGAATGACACTACACTCTACTTGTTTCAGAGTTCTACATCTGTAAAGCACATTAATGTGCTTTATCAATATGCCAGTATTTTCTTTTGAAGCAGTAAGGTCATACCACTGCTTTATAACTGAGGCCCCATGTTCTGTTTTTAGTAATGGTTTCGGTCTGTGAACATTACACCATGTTCAAAATTTTCTATGCATTAAGACATTTATAATGGACATTTAAATCAAATATCCAATTACTAGACCTTTTTATTCTGTAAACAAGAATCACAAAAGCAAATAATGTAAAACAAAGCAGTGGTGTTGATTTACTAAAGGAATATAGCATGTTCACTTTGCAAGCTGAGAATTCACGCACTCCCCTAGCACAACAAGTCATTCAATAGCAAGTGGTTAATCCACCTGGATGTAGCCAGCATACTCCTTTACCAGGGCATTCAATCTTTATCAAAGGTTTCTCTAGGGGAATTGATGTGTTGCAGGTAGCAGCAAGATTATATTTCAATATTCTAATCTGCAAGAAAATAGTGCTAACAAGAGTTAGCTGCAATCAAAAGAAACCACCCATTCAGTTTGGCAGCACAGTAGCTACGTGATTAGTACCACTGCCTTGCATCTCTGGGTCTCAAGTTCAGGCCGAGTACATTTCTAACAGACTTGATTAGGAGTACTGTGAGAGTAGGCCAACACAGATGTTAAATAGAGATTAAGATAGAATAATAACTCAATCATACAATCTTGTTTTTTTAATGGCTACGGAGCATATATGATATCTGATATCTGTATATTTTACAGCAAAAGCTACAATATTAAATACCCCACAAAAATACAAAGCATCACAATTCATTACTAAATACATATTCTAGAAAAAAAACTACATATTTCAAACTACCACTAAGACAGGTAAAGCATATAAAAATTTAACCATTAACCGTGCACTGCTGAAAGAGGTGATCAAAGTCGGAAACTAATAGGTTTCAAAAGGTTTAATGAGGGTCAAACATCCCTTTCTCAGGATCAGGTTCCAGTGCTTAAACGAAACCTGTACTGATAGAAATAAGGCTGCCATTGTTGATTCCTTATAAATGTCTATTTTCTACGTCGTTGACTCTGAAAAGGCATGCAGGTAAGTCAGACCTTAGCAAACACAAGAGAACTCACCTTAAAGAGTAACTTCACTTTTGTTGAGGAGGAAAAAAAAAAACCTCAATCCTCTCTGGGTGATCAGTGCACATTACAAGGACTTTAACAATCTTTGTTGTAGTTTCCTATTTGTTTCTGTTCTGAAGAAATAGCTGTGTGTTGCAGCGTGTCCTTTTCAGACTGATCCCCAAATGGGAGGGTCTGGGTTCCTTATAATCAGTTGGTGGGATTCCTATGTTGTAAAACAGGGAAAAGTGCAGTGTCGGCATCCCTTCAGTAGTATTAGGGAAATTGCACTTTGGGCAAAATGCCGAAAGTACCATCTTCCGGCCAAAATTACAGTGCATCCGTGATTTCTCTCCTCCTCGCGGGCCGCTGCTCTGTGTCCCCTCTGACACAGAGCAGCGTGGGGAGGAGAAAAACTATCAGGAGGCAGAGCGGTGTGGGGGAGGAGTCAGCTGTCAAAAGGAGACCAAGCTTTCCTCCCGCACGGCTCAGCCTCCTGTGACAGCGAATCAAGATGGAGAGCAGTTACAAGCAGTCAGCGATCAGCTGAGGGCTAGTTCACACCAGCCCCAGTGTGTTCCGGCCCGATTCAGTGAAAATTTTCATTCGATGATTGAACCATCTGATTTTCATACGGCCTCACCATCGCACAGTTCAATTAGCGATCTTTAGCAGAAATCACCTGGACGAATTTAGTTATCGACCGCACGGATTTTCGTTTGCGCATGAGCAGTGTTAAATCGTACAAATTTTGACATACGGAAACGCCACCAACCTTGCGAAAATTGTACGATCGACAAAAGCTTTCTAGCATGCTGGAAAGACGAACGTCATACGAATGTACAGTATTTGCGGTTGTAGACTCCAGATAAACCTTACAAATATCGGACAAAACCGTGATCGCAAACGAAAATCGGCCGATATTTGTAAGATGTATGGGCACCTTAAGACTTGATGCTGGTTTGAAGCCAAAGGGTAGCGACGCCAAATATTATTTTGATTTAGATTTTTCTTCTGTTCACTACATTTTGTAAATTGATAAAAATAAACAAACATATATATTTTTTTAAAGCATTCTTACAACCCCAATTTCAAAAAAGTTGGGACGCTGTGTAAAATTTACATAAAAAACAGAATGCAATGATTTGCAAATCTCATAAACCCAGATTTTATTCACAATAGAAAGTAGAAAACATATCAAATGTTTAAACTGTGAAAATTTACAATTTTAAAGGAAAAAATAAGGTAATTCAAATAAAACTCTTACCTTATAAAGATGAAGTATTGCTTTAATGCAAATGTTTACAAACTCAGTTTGCCTTCGTAAACTGCCACCATAAAATGCAACAAGCTCTTCATTAAAATTCACGCTGAAAACATCGAAGTGGTATCTCAAATCAATGTTCTCCGCCTTACGAAGAGCAATTGAGCCGATAGAGCGAGCTGAGAAAAAAAACAAAAGCATGCTTCTGTTACATTCTATTTGTGGAATTACTTTCAAGAAATAAACACATTTTGGAAAATGTTAGGTCCACTAATCATTGGTCCTGTTCCAATATGCAGCATTCTCTGCTGCAACCTCAATATGAACACCAACATCTGTGTCAAGAGAGCAACTTTGTAGTTGGATTGTGCTGCAGGGGTCACAACATCTCAACAGTCCCAACCATCGTCTTGAGTAAACAGACAGCTTAGAGTTACCTTTGATTTTACTTGATGCAACCTCAATATCAGTCTGTGTGAACATCTGCAGTATTATAAAATTCCCATAACACAAAACCGATCAGATCTACTTGATTTATTAGTTAAAAGTGACGGTACATTCAAGACATTTTACTGTGCACAGAGAAACACTAAATAAGACAAGTACCTGGAGTATTTCAACAAGTGTTGACTTCTCCCAGGAACTCTTGCAAAGCACTGAATGTTAAAAGGAGAACTATGGGGTTAGGGCTTTTCCCCATAGTTCTCCTAAGGGTAACGGGAGGACACAAACTAGCGTCCTCCCGTCACCCTAAGCTCAGTATACCGCGAGCTACAGCTCGCGGTATACTGAGACGCCGCAGCTGAAACGGATCCCGACAATTATGTCTGGATCCGCCCAGCTGCGTGAGTGACAGCAGGCTCTGCCTATCTAGAGGCAGAGCCAGCTGTACCCGCCCCCTCCCCCGTCCATTCCGCCAGTCAGCGCTGCAGGATCGGAGGGGGGAATCGAGTCCCCCCCTGTTACGGTTCTCTGCCGTGACAGGATCGAGAAGTGAGCGAACGCCGGTATGTGTTCGCTCACTTCCCGATCTACTGAGCCGACCTGGGACAGTTTCATCGTCACAGGTCGGCTAGAATTATGAGGATGAGTGAAAATCACTCACCTCATAGTTCTCCTTTAAGCTTTAGCCTACACAGGACTTCTCTTTACACTGCACTAAACGGAAAACAGACTACAGCATTTGTCTCCACCGACACTGCAATTCCCATTCATGTAAACTGAACACTTGAGAGAGTTTTAAAGCACAACAAATCTTACACCTTTTTATCTCTTTATAGTCCTACAACTTCACCAGTACTAGTGTGAAGCAGCCCTTAAACTATAAAAGATCACTAAAACATGAAGTCACTTTATCTCACTAAGTCATTTTACCACACCATGAATAAATGAATTCCACTTACCTTGCTTATAACTGCCGGCATTCCCAGGAAGAAACAAAACTGGAATTCCATTTAAAGGCAGTTGTTTGTTGTTTTCTGCATAAATACCTTCACCATACAAGTGCAGTTCATATGCTGGAAATAATCTTGCAGCTTTTTTGGGAAGCTTTATTTTCTGATAAAAACAAGTATAATTCATTAATTACATGGAATACATGACATATCTACATGTCTGCCATATCACTAAATAAAACAAAAAATGTCACAGAGTAAAACCTTTTGCAAAAATGAAAGAAATGCATAATGAATAATATATTAAAAAATATGCATTTCTTTAATATTTGCATTCAAGCCTGGAAATCATTGCAGTTGTGATCACACGATCAAGGTTGCAAAGCTCAGGCTTCTGCACATTCTCTCCCAGGCAGAGCTCGTACTGAGGTACGGCGTTTCAGTTAGGAGAAACGTGGAAGAACGGCATTAAAAGCACCTCATACAGCGTCCAGCCAGTCCTCGCTCTAGTTAGAGCTGCCCATATTCCCACATATACCTAGAGGGAGGACGGCTGGACGCTGTATGAGAGGTGATTTAATGCAGTTTGAAGTCCAGCTGTCTGTTCCTCATCTCTCTTGAAAAAATAATCGGCAACTAATCGATTATGAAAATAATTGTTAGCTGTAGCCCTAGTTTTACTAGTATTCAATATGCTGGCTGAAGCCAGAGGGTCAGCATGACAACCAGGTAGCATGTTCTTTTAGGCTATGTTCACACCATGAAGCTGGAGCAGATCTGCAAACGCAGTGCATTGCGTTTTTGCGGTTTTGGGGTGTGTTTGGGGGGGGAGGGGGGGTGTAGCTTAAAATTGGCCTTCTGGTGCAGTTCAGTGCGTTCGCATTGCATGTGCATGCTTTTTTATCCGTTTCATACCAGAGAGAATGAGACAAGCAGTATTGTTTTTGTCTGGACCGGAACGCACTGCACTGGTGTGATACAGTACATTGGGATACTTTTTTGGTCCGGGAACAAACTGTTCTTGTCTGGACATGGTGTGAACAAGCCCTTAGGACAGGTCAGTAGTTGCAGCCTTGGTATTCATCTGAGGACAGGTTCCCTTTAACAATAGGAAGGCTCAGAAGAACATCATCAAGCTGAATGTAACCGGATGCTAGAACGTAACCTTTCCGCTCACAAAAGCATTTACATTTCAACCTACTGGAAGAAGCTGATGACAAGTCTGAAATGATTGAGACAACATTTGCACGCCTGCATACTGCATGTATAAATAAAGCGGTTCTACCACAAAAGGTAATACAATGCAATATAAACAAACAATCTTGCTGCCATAGAAAATGAGGCTGCATTCACACTAGTCCATTTTAACCACTTGAGTCCCTGGGCCTTTTCCCCCCTAAACCCTCCTGCATCCTAAAGCAACTTTTTTCATTTGGGGTGGATGTCTCGGTTCCGCACATTATATCTTTTAGGGGTTTTTTTTCACTCAATCCTAATGTATTTTCCTGACACCAATCCATGGCAGCATACAATGGGCTCGGGGCGGAGCCATACCCATTGTATGCTGCCATGGATTGGAGCCAGGAAAGGAAAATTACCGATAGGTAAGTATACAATTTTCTGTTTTCCTAACACCAATCCATGGCAGCATACAATGGGTATGGCTCCGCCACCAGCCCATTGTATGCTGCCATGGATTGGAGCCAGGAAAGGAAAATTAACCGATAGGTAAGTATACAATTTTCCGTTATACATTATTTTGGGACAAAAAGGGCTTTAACTTGGTTGCAATTTTTAATGCATATATATGTATTATTTCTGTGATTTTTATTTTTAATAAATAGCAAAAAACAAATCCGCTGGAACAAATGATCTTGCATTAGTGCAAGCTTGCTGTAAGGTAGCAGAATAGTAAAGTTCTAAGTGAACATATGTGCTTTTATTAAAGAATAAAGTTTAATCATTTTCCGACAATAACAAAAATGTACAGACATAGAGAGAACAATAACCCCCTTTCACACGTACAATGGCCCATAATATAATTCCAGAGGAGGGGGAACCTCCTATAAAGTGCTTCAATTACACGGACATGTGCAAAAGTACACTAGGAAAATTAGAACCGTGATACAAGGGCAGGACGCGGCTTGGCCTTATGTGCAATACTACACACTAATCTGTTAATTGGTAGTATCACCATATCCGAACCAGGAGCAAGGGGCCAATGACAGGAAGCCAAAGGAAGAGAGCAAGGAGAAAAGCAGGTAGGGAGAAAAAGAGCGAATAGAATGTATGCATTTTATCTTAGAAGGACTTTATTCCTCTTTCAACACTACATTGCAATGCACGGGAGAAAAATAAACAGTTTGTGTAAATTGTTACCATAACATTAAGATAACATTCAAGTCGGTTATTGAAGGCACAAATTAGCATGACGACAATTTTTTCACAGGTTTGTGATCGCTAAACATTCGAATGGCATTGTGTTTGAACATAATCAGGACTCCACCTCCTGGGGCCAGTGGGATGCAGTAGCAAGGGGTTAACCTAGGGGGGAGAACGTTTTTATTCATTTCTAAGTACACACTTAATGTAAACAGAATGAGGAAGCATAGTGCTGGATTCCAGTCTGTACCCCCACCAGGAAACATTGAATTCTGTGCCATTTTAAAACAATGCTAGGACACGTAACTGCTACCCTAGCGCCATTTCAAAATGGTGGCTGGGACTCAAGAGATTAACACACAAATTCAGGTGTTCCAATGACCTTCATGGCCATAGGTGTATACAATCAAGCAACCCAGGCATGCAGACGCTTCTACAAACATTAGTGAAAGAATGGGTTGCTCTCAAAAGCTCAGTGAATTTAAGCGTGGTACCGTGATAGGTTGTCACCTGTGCAATAAGTCCATCCGTGACATTTCCTTGCTACTAAATATTCCGCGGTCACCTGTTAGTGGTAGTATAACAAAGTGGAAGCAACTGGGAACAACAGCAACTCAGCCATGAAGTGTTAGGCCATGTAAAATGACAGAGCGGGGTCAGCGCATGCTGAAGTGCACAGTGCCAAGAAGTCGCCAACTGTCTGCAGAGTCAATAGCTACAGACCTCCAAACTTCGTGTGGAGGGGGGGAATTAGACAGACAGAAAAATCGCAAGTTTTATGATTGAGATAAGAGATCATTAGAAACAACTGCTTTCCCCGTACATCAGAAATTTCTTCTCACATCTTGTGGCGTCTCTGGGACAGGAAGTAAAACTAAGTTACAAGCAGAAAAGCAATTTTGAGGAGAATATCCAGCAAACAGATTTTAATTAGTAAATGTCTGCATCAAAAAGGAGTTTTCCACCAACAGTAGGAAAGGTGACAATGATTAATGGGGTACTCTATTGTGATCTCAGAAGTCAGCTTCTATATCTACAACTACATCAGAATTTTGGAGGAGCGCTTAGATCTGCTCTGAGTTTGTTTTGGGGTTTTTTTTGGGGTGGGGGGGGGGGGGGGAGGGGGG